AACAGCATATAGCATGACGAAAAAATCATACATAAACTAAACCTTAAGTATATCCATGCATTAAATTTTACAGCAAACCCAGTAATAATAAAAGAATAGGGTAACGAGAAAATTTTGTTAGGAATAAATGTAAGTAAATTTTGATAGGAATGTATGTTTGAATGCAAGAAGAAAGTCATTCATTACTCAGTATTTCATAGATTCGCATAAGTTGGAGGATGTCGATTCGAACCCAGATTTAAGCGTTCTATTTGACCATAGGTTCCATTTTAACTTGCATATTGAGCTCTCGTTAAGCAGTGGTTTAATAAAAAGGTGGTCCAAAGAGCTTGATGATCCCTACATTACGAAAAGGCTGTACATGTTGTGTTTGGTTAGACCCACAGTCGAGTATGCCTCTGTTATGTGGTCTCCTCCATATAAGTGCTATGTAGATTCAATTGAATCTGTTTGCTTGTTTGTTCTTGGCGTTTCCTTCGTAATCAAATTAATAAATGGCACAATTGACTCGCCCGCATTACTTCGTGAGATTGGCTTTAATGTCCCTAAGCGCTTCTCTAGGCACTTTATCTTGGTTAAGCTTAGTCAGTGGAAATATATTTATGAGCTGTTTAACTCGCTCAGAGTTGTTTGCCAGAACCTAAATGACGTCTTTCACTTATTCTCCTTATCGGACTCTTCAAAGTCCATTAAAGCAACATTGCTTAATACGCGCGATTTACCTATGTCGTACTTAAACCAGCTTTTAACCTTAAAAGTCGTTACGACTCGAGAATGAATTGTTGTTAACTATTATCGGTTGCCAAGCTTATGCATGATTGCGATGGCTTAGGGGTTCATTTGCAATTTGGTCCTGTACCGGTTGTAAGCGTGGCTCTACGCTGGTTGTACATGCTTTTTTCTTTTTTTTTTTTTTTCTTTCTTATTTGTTTTATTGCACTTATACTAAGTTTTAATATTAATTAATATAAGTTTTGCTTGAAGTTTCAATTGAACTCGACTGTTATTTGTTCTGTTGAGTTTCATGTATAAGTAGAATTAAGTTAGAAGGAGAGCTCATGTACGCTAGGAGTAAATGCAAGTACATATTACTCCCTCCACCGAAAAATGAGTTTCATTGCACAACAATTGAAATGGAAGCGAAAGGTTTGACATAATTGCTCTTAGAAGGTTACAGACAACCATGATCAAAGTAAACAAACGTCTGTAACTTACGATCCATCGTCATAAGCAAGTGCGCTAGTGAATTCTAAAAGAAGATTGTAGGGCAACCTGGGCCAAAATAGTTCCAACTTGGTTCTGTTATAAATTTATTTGACCATTAGCGACTTTATCTCACACTGTATTTGGGAAATAAGGGGAAATTCATATTGAACAAATTGCTGACCCATATTGAACTTAGTTTCTTCAAACCAAACCTCCCCGATTTAAAAATACTTATTTGCTTTTTGGTAGATAGATTGGCGAGCGTGTATAAATTGAATCAAATTCTCAGATAGAGAATTACGTATACACAGATAGATTGTTATGTACATTATATAAACACTCAATTCTTGTTCTTCCTTTCTCCAGTTATTACTCTATCTACTGCGCTTACAATTTACCTTAAATTATACTTTTTTGCAAATAATGTTTTACATACCTAATATGTACATATAATAATTAACATATAATATGTACATGTATTTGTGTTATATATAAAAATATATATGATGTAATAAGCGGAATATTCATGCATATTATTCGGTAGTTGTTATACAAATCGCTAGTGTTTGTAAAGATACCGAAAAGCTACATACACAATACATTTACACAATTATATATTATATAGATAAACTCTAGCACGCAAGCCTTCCTAGGCACTAAAGTTTCGTGTACATTCTAAAATGTTATAAAAAAATGTTATAAAAAACGCGTGAACAACCTGTGTTATCATGTGTGCTTGGCTGTCTGCTGATTCATGTAATGGACGTTTAATTATTCATAAAAACGACATTAACGCGTATATGTAAATACTTCTGCAAATGAATTTATTTTGCTTTTTGCAAACGACAAAAAAGCATTTTCTATATGTGTGAAATTCTTGGACATACGGCTGAATATCCCCTGGTTAAATATACATACACACGTTGCACTCAAAATAACTTTAAAAATATTTATACGAAATTTGTAAAATGTGTTTACTGAAATGAGTAGAATTTTATCAGAGTTAAGTGGCTTTGTTACGTAACTGCATCTAAATAGTAACGCAATTTTATTTCCCATCCAAAATAAACATAACGAAGCGTTTATAACAGAGAACACACACAAGTGTTTGCAAGCATTTTGCGCTCTACAAAATAATATAAACGATTTTTTTTATATAATAGTTTTTCAAGAAGTATTTTTAAGACGCAACTGCGAAAGTTACATCGACGTAGTAAATTTTTGATACAAATTCATTTCTGCAAATCAGTAGCTTAAAGCTGCGCAAGCGCAAGACCGTAATTATCGCATTTGAAGAGAGGAGACTTTTGTTGCTCGCACTGATCAAATTATATGCACGGGGTATGCACATTTCTGGTCATGCCGAATATTTTAGATGCCTGCAATACCAAAAAAAGTAATTGTCAAGAAGGGACTTTTTATATTTTTTGTATGTACTTGTGGCACTTAGGGCGGTCGTATGTAACAGGCGGAACGGTTTAAGATAGACCCACCTGTTACACCGATCGATTCAGAATCACTATTTAAATTGAACTAAGTCTGTTCGTCTGTCCGTTTTTTCGTCTGACGTCTGTCCATGTAAATTTGCGCTCAAGCTGCAGGTCGCAAATTTTAAGATATTTTTATGAAATTGGGTACAGTGACGTGTTTTCGCCCAATGACGAACCCTGTTGAAAATGGCTCGGATCAGTCCACTTTTTCGACCACTCTCCATATAACGCCGTATTGGGACAAGTCGCTATATGGAATCCTATGGATGATTCTACATCATTTGTACCAAAATGGAAAAAATCGGCCACTCCCCTTTAAACAGATACAGTTTCACTACTTGTTTCATTCTCTTATGTTTAAGTGGTTTCAAGAGAAGCGGAGAAATGACCTTAAAATAACTAAAAAAAAGTATAGTCTGCCACGGCCTGTCAATAAGTAGCCTTCGCGACCTTAATATATGACGACCTTTCACAA